CTTAAACCAGGAACACCAGAACAGCAGCATATCGCTAACCACAAACTGTTAATGTCTTCCAGCTGAAAAACTAGCTGTTGTCTGCCGAAAATTATATTGAAATTCAACTGTAAACATGTACCTGCAGATGGCGTAGTGCACGCGCAAAACAAGTGCGAGATACGCAAATGTTTTACTTACTGGGCGGTGACAGGAAAAAATGTAACAGGCACCGTAAAAATTTTAAAAAAGGATCAATAACTTTAAAAAACGCGTGATTAACCCTATATTTTATGTTATGAAATGGAAGTGGCAAGCCTATTCAGCAGGTGATTAGTTTCTGGTTGTGAGCAAAAGATATTTAGACTGTATATTAGCTGAAACAGAGGAAGGCTGTCAGAGACGCTCAAAGTACTGTTGCAACGATTTTGTTATCAAAAACATACCAAAAATGGTTTTTATGTTACCATTTACCATGTAGTTTTCAGATCTTTATAAATGTGTTTACTTTTCTGTATGTAAAGGCGAATTCTAAAGAAAGCTGTGAAAAAATATCCTCTCCTTCTATTTTCAGAAAAATGCTGATGTCAGCATTTTTTTGAGACTCGAGGCTAATTATCTCGATAAAAAGCGTGGCTACCCTCTTTTTTCTTTGTGGATACGGATAGCCCTTGCAAAGATCTACTTTTACCGCAAGGTCCAAACCTGGCGCAAAAACCTTTGTATTTAGTAGGCACCGTCCTTAACATTGCATTTCCATCTCCTTACTTTTTGATCCAGTCAAATGTGTTAATGTCTTACAGTAAGCACTTTTTGCCGCCAGATAACACAACGATAATGATTCTTATTACGGAGTTTTAGTCGACACGGGGGTTATAATGTTTTTTTGTGTGTGTGAAAAAGCGCTTCTGTCGAGGCTTGTAAGGTGTAAAATATGTGGGTTGTATCCCAAACAATTTTCAGAGTGTAGAAAAAACTAGTTTTCCGTGTTACGCAGTAAAAAAATATGACGTTTTCACTGTTTCTCGTTGCCTCAGTATTCAACAACAGTCATTATGTAAGGGGGACAGAATAAGTTCTTCGCTCTATCTGATTTGTCCGTCCTGAAGTCGAAATGGCAAATCTCCCTATAGTGAGTCCAATACACTGATTTCAAAGGTAGTTTTGAGAACTTTGTTTAATTAAGAGGGTTAAAAAATGTCGAAAGTTCCTGAGAATTAACTAATTCTTTTAATTTGTGTGCTTGACGCAGGTGTCCCAAGGAGACTGGTGGAGCCCAAGAGATTTGGCTATGGTAAGTAAGGACTAAAAGTGGTAGGTTACATCACAGCGTTCAAGTCAGGCCATGCTAGGCATGTTAGGTTCCTCAATGTCACCCTCGTCTTACTCGGCAACACAACTAAATAGTCAATGGCGTTTTTCATGCATTATAAGATCACTTCTACTTGAAGTTTATCAACCAACAGAATCAAGTGGGGCCAATATTAAGCTATTAATTAGACGTACGTGTAAATTCTATATATGATCATTTTGAAAGTTAACATCGAATGGCGTTCCCCTGACCCCTTAATTCAACTTCTGATCGTCCGTCTTATCTGAACAAACCGTCCGAGAATTTCTAATGTTCACTGTTTACCTAATTCCAGAGTTTGACCGTGGCACCTTCATATACAAGTTCTTTTTCCTGAGTTACGAGATGCTCACCTGGCCGGAAGCCGAAATCTACTGTCGTGATGCAGAGGGCGGTCACCTGGCCAGCGTGCGAGACTTACGAGAGAACAAATACATAGAATCGAAGCTGCGAATGCTCAGATATTACTTTGGATATCCCAAATGGTGGATAGGAGCTTCGGACCTCTATACTGAAGGAAACTTCAGTTGGACCGATGGCAAACCCTTCACATATCAGCGCTGGGTTCAGGGGGAGCCCTCAGGCCATCACAGGGGCAACAAGGAGGACTGTGCTGTTATAACCGCTGACCCGCACTGGGGGCGATGGAAGGATGATTATTGTTTACACCATCTCCCTTTCATTTGCAAAATCAGAGGTAAATAAAAGTAAATATTTCGAGTTCTTATATTCTGCCTTATGAACTCCGGCTTACGGTTAGATTGTGGAATCTCTTTTTGGGTACTCACACAGAGAGAATGAGCTTACTAGGCACTTGTATGTAGAAGGAGTTATTGGCAGGTGATTATGGTTTGCCTTTTGTGAACTGTTGTGATCTATTCTCAAATATTCACGTATTTCTATCATCTTGCATCAGAAATGTGCCATTAAAGAAAGAGAACTGGCATCACTTGTTTCTTCTTGACCCCATAACATTTTCGCTTCATTTACATAAGTTTGGACGTACCAAAACTGCAACATCTTGTACACAGTCAAAACGTTCGATCGGTTGGACCCAAGACGTTCCTTTCACTGATAAGAGGTAGGCTTTGTGCTTCCCTGATTCTTATAGCTAACATATGTTTTAATGTTTTTCATTGTTTAGTTTGCAACCAGCGAGCCGATATTGGTTTCGCCATTGACGCATCTACAAGCGTCAGAGGAAGTGGCTTTAGAAAATCCAAGGATTTCATCAAATTCGTTCTGCAGCGGTTCAAAATCTCTGAGCTTGGCATTCATGTGGGTTTGATCCGCTTCTCCACTACTGCCAGAGTGATATTCAATTTCGAAGAATACTACACGAACGGGGACATAAATGCAGCCGTTGACAGCATGAGGTACGTCAAAGGAGGCACATACACCGACCGGGCCCTGAGACTGGCGAGGACCAAATTATTTCTCGAGAAACCACTGGGCAGTTCCCGTCCCTTAATTCCCAAATTCTTGGTTGTGATGACAGATGGCATTTCAAAGAATACTAGAATTACAGCTATGGAAGCTAAGGTGCTAAAGGAAAGAGGCGTTCATATTATAGTAGTGGGTGTTGGTCGCAATCTGGCGAGAAAGGAGTTGATAAATATTGCGTCATCTCCCCAAGACGTCATCACTGCCACTTCGTTCAGAGCTCTGAAGAAAATCGTGGTTGTAGCGAAGGAAAAAGTTTGTGGAGGTAAGTTTCAGTCATCTAAAAAGGGCAAGGCGCGATACGAAACTTAGCCAAGGAAAGGGTATTGAGGAAATGTTCTGGATTTTAACTGAGAAGGTTTCAGAAACTTCTGACTACCAGTTAAAAAGACTAGCTGAATATTGTGCAGTTTTTCTTTTTTATAATTTTCAGGTCAGAACTACAGAACAGTATTTCATTTTGGACCTCATGATAGATGTAGTTATCGAAGTACCGTTCTCAAACCATTAATACTTTATGAAGTTTAAGATAGAGGAAATCCCAACCGGGACGATATTTGGATATCTGATCTAAATTGGAAAAGATTTTACAATCCTATTTTTCCGTTTTCTCCGTAGTTTTAGTTTCGATGAGGAAGATATATGAAATACTCAAGACTGTGTTTCACCACATTTCCGAACACTGTTTATCGTATTTTCAACTCTCTTCTCGGTGTTCGATAAAGTGGTAAAACTCTGGCTCTCGTTTTTGATATATTACTTCACGTTTCTCCGAATTATCACGCGAAATTATCTCATTTAACCAGCTAAATAAACCTGACACTATTTTTTCTCTATTGGTGTTTCAGGATTGTGATAAACAGCAGAAAATAGGTGAGCGAAGGATTACAACGGGTGCCCGCCAAACTAAAGAACAACAGAAAACACGGCAATACGGAGGAATGCTAAAAGATGGGAATTCCCGAACATTTATGGAAGTCTCACGTGGACAGCAGAAATTCCTGAGCATTTTCGGAGGCTATCGAGCCCATCGATATTTGTGTGAGACAATTTAACTGGAGATGAGATAACTTATTTTAAAAACGGGGACTTAATGGACAGAAAAAAGTAAAGATTAATCTGCTTCCACACTCGTAACCAAACCATGAGTAATGATGTATTGTTTTAACTCTAAACAAAACCCTTGTATGTGACCATTCGAATGAAAGTGATCTTGAGGGCAGTAATTTAATGTAATACCGTTTGTTGCGATGTTGAAAATGTTTCCAATTTCTAAATAGTGTGCTATATAAA